CTCCACAATACCTGCATATTTTAAAAAGAATGCAAGTCTCAATTATGGCTCAGGGAAAGGAAGTCATCATTCAACCAAACCACTGGCTTGTGTTAAAGACTAATAAGTTGGCAGGAGGATGTGAGTAAGAATGACATGTGACGAACCCCAAGAATGATGTTGTCCACTTTGAGCACAGACTTTCATGATTTTGCTTTTGATTTTTTTTAAAAGGCTTCAAATCAAACCAATAGAAATGTATTCCTCGCTTATAAACATTGAAGGGTGGATGCTCAATCCTCCCTCCCTATCCATTTTGATTACTACTACCCAACAGGATGGGTTTGCAACATTCCTTCCAGCTTCCCATTAAGCATCGGCCAAATTATGGCCATTACTTCTTCTCATTAAACCTAAAAGCATTCTTCCTCTGACAGTCTCCACGTGCAACCATGATCCACTATGAAGCCTTCTCCAACTCACCTCATCCAAAGTTCTCTTTTGCTACAGTCGATATGTACATACAGACAAGGACAAGTAATCTTACTTATTTACGTGATATGTTTCCGACCTTGACATGTGAACTCCTTGATACTTGGTCTTCTGCAGGAGGTGGTCGCCCAAGATGGTCAAAGAGTAAGTTGTAGACTGCTCATGGAGAAAGAGGGTTTGTTGATAACTTCACTTTTGAACATTAAAAAGAACGCAGAAACCAAGACAACTGCCAATATTAACAAACTCTTAGCGGAACACTAAAACATTCATCTATTGTCCTGATTTGTGTAAAATGCTAGCTACCATACAGTGAAAGTCCATCAGAATAGAGAAGACGAAACTGTCTCCTGGGCTCCTACGCGGCCTCAACTGACCAAGTATAGCTTGGAATTCTTAGACAAGGCCATTCAATCACTTCTGCTATTTATCTGCTGCATATCTGAACTTTCGACCTACCATAACCATATTCATTTTCGACAGCAGAAGGCAGAAGTCGACTAATGTTAGTTCTAGAGGATTCAAGCCAACCAAGAATCCTGCATTAAATAATAGGCAACAACAATAATAAAACATAATCTACTGATTAAGAGCTTTCCTTAGGAACTCTTTGTTGATTGTACACAAAAAGTACGACTTCATTTTGAACAACAGAAGATGTGGATTAAGGATGTTCACTGTTTGTAGTTCATCTTAGAACCTGTAGTCAATAGAGGCACACATAAATTTCAAGCCAGCCAAGAAAACTATAATCAGTAACATTAATTCAGTCTACTAGATTAGCATCCCTCTCATATACCTAAGAGAGAACCATGAGAGTGAAGGTCAGCATTGCAACTCCAAGCAGTTGAACTTGAATGAAAGAAAAACCTTGTTGAAGCAAAACCTTGCATAAAGAAAAAGGAGCGTCCTGATCTAGCGGGGGAAGAATGAATTAATATGTAGACAGAGTCTTCTTGTTCCAGAGTGTCACTGTAGATGGCTACTCAATTGTACTAGCCATTTTATTTGCATAAAGTTGCTGTTCATCGTTGGAAAACTTCAAATTCCAGACATATCTGGTCGAGAACGTGTATAAGTTTTTCACTTTGAAATGGTCTCAATTTTTTTTTCTGCGAATTCTCTTGAGCAACTTCAAAAGATGCTACAGTTTCACATTCATGGAACTACAATCTCTCTGCACATGTTGATGTTCAAAAAGAGCTCACATAAACATACCCAGCCAAGAGCCTCTAAATTTATGCCATGCATTCTCCAGGAGGAACCTCAATATAAAAGAGAGATTGGATCATAGGTGTCCATATTTCTTAAGGCGGGTACCATCACAACCATTCATGATAATCTGAACAGCAGACACTAAAATCTTGATATCTAGACCAACCGATGGTAATTCCTTTGTCTAAATGATTTCACAACTATTCTTGTCTCCTGGGGTAAGGAATTTCTGTAATCTTGTGAGCTGGGACGAGAGGATGTCTAATCTGACCCTTGGTACTATCATCTTTAATAAAAAATTGTATGCCTTAACTAAAAAACTTGAAAATAAAATGTAGACTGTCCTTTGCTGCTATACACAGTGAAGGAGGAGGAAAAACCATAAATTCCCCCTCTTCAACTAAAAAGAATGGGGAAGAAAATCAAATGAAAACAAACAAAAAGGTAGACTGTCCCCTTTGCTGAATTAGGTGGACCAAAAATAAAGAGACAAAAATCAAGAACTTAATAAAATCATTAACCTTCGTAAAGAAGTAACAAGAGGGTCGGTTATAATTATGGTGAAACTACAATGAAGAACCACAAAACATGGCCTAGCCAACAATTCTAGAGAACGATACATGATATCAAACCTATCAGCAGAGAGATCAAACGCATAATGATTCGAGGAGATGGCAACTGACACAGTAAATTAGAAGGATCAGACAGAAGTGATGACATGAGCTCAATTTTATGCCAGCTACTAATTTCAGGCAGATCAACCTACAAAGTAATCCAGCTTTTATATCTTGCTCAGATAAACTTCAGTGGACTAAAGTGCCTGATGGCTAGATAAAAAAGCATTGCACAAATGAAATAATACTAATTTTGATCAAAATTATGCAAACATGGAAGTAGCATGGGGTCTACGTCAAATATATTGTCCCAACCACAAATAGCCCACTGCAGCATTTTTTGCTGGAAAATATAGAATCATTCGGCCTTTTTTCCCCAATATTTAAAACATCTCTATTCTTGAATTTCAGCAAAGCAGACACAATTCTACAACATACAACAGGAGAAGCTAATGAAAGCATTTCCACAGTTACTTGAGCAATTGGGGCAGAAAAACCAAAACCATTGACGTATGCATTAGATTACGAGTTTGTTCTAATCACAATCCTGCTGTGGGGGGTGGGGGTAGGGGCTAGGGGAAGTATCTGCATATTAAGCAATAGTGGAAATGCTGACATGGTTGCGTATTATTATTTAAAAAAAAAAACTTCCGTGAGCATATAGGGGCTTCTTGAGAGCATCGGATCACTAAAAGGGCGAGGATGAGGAAAACCTGGAGAAAATATGGAAAGGTATCCATATGGTACAACGTAATATAGCGCAGATGCCTCGCCATTACTGCCAAACAATCCATTGTATCCCATACAACTCCAAACAGACATGCGGCATATGGATATCTTATACTAGAGAATAAAAGCAATCAGTGTTGAGCCCACTGGATTTCCTTGATATTTATCCCCTCCTTTACCATTTCATAAAGGGGACTCATTTCCCTCAACTTTTCCACCTGCTGCACAGTCAACTCAACTGCTCGATCAATCTCAGCCTCCGTGGTGAACCTCCCAATGCCAAATCTGATCGAAGTGTGAGCCATGTCCTCATCCACTCCCAACGCCCTCAACACATATGAAGGCTCCAAGCTGGCGCTCGTGCATGCACTCCCGCTCGAAACAGCCACATCCTTCAAACCCATAAGCAAGCTTTCTCCTTCCACATACGCAAATGACAAGTTCAGATTACCAGGATAACGTTTCTCCATGCTACCATTTACCACAACTCCTTCAAGTTTCGCATTTATGCCATTCAAGAGCCGTTCCTGCAGCGCAGTGATTCGCTTATCATCATATTCCATTTCCTTCATAGCAAGCTCACAGGCTGCCCCCATTCCCACGACCAATGGGGTTGGGACGGTCCCACTCCTAATGCCCCTCTCTTGTCCTCCTCCGTTCATTTGGGGCTCAACTCGAATCCTCGGCCTCCTCCGCAAATACAAAGCTCCAATACCCTTTGGCCCATAAACCTTATGTCCACTCAAAGACATCAGGCTTACATTCCATTTCTCCACATCAATTGGAATCTTCCCAAGCGCCTGAGCCGCATCAGTATGGAAAGGAACATTGAATTCCTTGCAAATTTTCCCAATTTCCTCTACTGGCTGAATGACACCAATTTCATTATTAACCGCCATGATCGAAACAAGGCCAGTATCAGGTCTAATCGCGGAACGAAGCTTCTCCAAATCAACAATCCCATCGGTCCCAACTGGTAAATAGGTAATATCAAAACCCTCCTGCTGCAAATGTCTGCACGAATCAAGAACGCACTTGTGCTCGGTCTGAGTGGTAATCACATGCTTCTTCTTTTCTTTATAGAAATGCATCACCCCTTTGACGGATATGTTATTGGACTCAGTAGCTCCAGAGGTAAAAACAATCTCCTTAGGCGAGGCACCAATAAGAGCAGCAACTTGGGAGCGAGCCGTCTCAACGGCATGGTCCGATTCCCAGCCGTAGAGATGCGTCCGAGAGTGTGGATTTCCGTAACGAGAGAGATAGTAAGGAAGCATAGCGTCGAGCACCCTAGGATCAACAGGGGATGTGGCTTGCATATCAAGATAAAGCGGTCGTCCAGAGATTTTAACACCTTTCATAGAAATCCCAGATTCATCCTCATGGAGTTCCGACGAAGTGGCTACAGCAGCGGCAGTGGAGAGATGGCGTAAGCGCAAGACGGCGGGAGAAAATCCCGTGAGGGTGCGGCGTAAACCGGATGCAAGAATCTTAGAAGCCATCGAAGGGTGGGAAGGTAGCGTTGAATACAGGCTCTTTCCGAGTGCGAGATGGTTAAATACAGTGGCGAATTCGCAAAGGAAAAAGAAAAAAATTCGTCATTCGGAGCTCTTCACTTCGAAATTTAGGGCACAACAAAATGGAGATCGCCACCGACTTACAAAGAATATGTTCCAGAAGTTAGACACGTGGCAGTATTATAATCCGGTGATTTTCTGATAGGTTGGCTTAGCCAAGCCTAGCCAAGCCAGGTTTGACTTTTTTTTTTTTTTTTTTTTTCTGAACTAAGCCAATATTTGACTTGTTAATCAACCATAAAATGACGTAATATAATTAAGACATCAATTTTAAATAAAGAACCAAAATTTTAAATAATTAATAAAGTTAAGTATTAAAATAAAATTTAAATATTTTCACACGTGCAAAAGAAAAAAAAAAAGTTTTTATTTGAAATAGAAAAGAAAAGAAATTAGTGTGGAGGAAAGCTTTGAATATGAGGGCATGAACTATGTGATGGAGATGATGAAGCGGGGGCATATAAATACGCAAACACCACCGACGGAGAATTTCATCAGATCCGAAATTCTCACCTTTTTCTCTGTACGGGAAGTCCCGTTGGACTTGCGAAGAACTGCAAATCATTTCTCTCCTTTTTCCTTAAGCATTAAGCATTAACCAATAACCACCACCGTTTCCCCGCGCTCAGCTTTCTGATCCGGCTACATTTTCCAGGTTCTTATTCTTTTTCTGTCTGCCTCGTTCGTTCTTCAGTGTTTCAATTCCCATTCAAGTTATAATTTGTGGAATTATACGATCTTGCTTTCCTTCTTGGAAGGAGCATTAATAGATCTGTCTTATTTCCTAATCCAATGTACCGTTATTTCTTCTCTTTTTTAGATCTTCGGTCTCAAAAGAGTAGGTCGCTGCAGATTTAGGAAAGGAGATTTTGGACTCATTATAGAAATTTAGAATGTGAAAGATCCAAACTCCAAACTATTTTTGAGTAACAATTAGGATAATGTGTAAAGAATACATCTGTGATATTTTCTGGAAATTTGGAATGTGGATTTATGTGATCGCTACACTAGGATTTGAATCTGGTACCAATTCATTTGCAGCACTGGTTCGCGTTATGGTTATTTATTTTCATGGTGGATATTTTTTGGTTAAATGATGTTCGTTCAATTTTCTTGGTTGGCAGGGGTTTGGAGAAAGCCCTAAGGCTTGGAATTCATAATGTTCAGGTCCCCTCGAAGGAATCAGAGATCCAGAGGCTTCAAGGTGAAGCATGCCTTACAGATATGTCTTTTGCTTGGGGTTTGCGTCTGGCTTGTTTACCAAATTCAGCATTCTCGCGGTAAAAAAGCTAGTTTCGATGAGAGAACAAAACTTGATGATGTTGTGAAACTAGGGAGGAAGGACCTCCATCCTCGAGTCATTGAGAACCACAGAGAGGATGAGGAAGAAACCCGGAATGAATTGGAAAAGGGTACGTTTGAAAGTGATAATGAAGAAAAGGGCAGTGGGAATGATGAGTTTCACGATCAGCAAGAAGTTCAGGAGGAATCTGACAATAAAATTTTTATGGTGGATGTGGAGAAGGAGAGAGAGGAGACCAGTGAGATTAGCGAGGAGACAAAAATCGAAGTGAACAAAGAAATGGAAAACGAAAACAAAGGAAATGAAGAGATTAAAGAGGGAGGAAATGATGATAATGGGGAGATCGGAAAGAGTCAAGGTGAAGAGCAGGGAGAGGAGGGTAGAGGGGGAGGAAACGAAGAGAATGGAAATGAAGAATACCAAAAAAAGGAAACTCAGGAAGAGAATGGAAGCGAAGAAAGCAAAGAACGTGGAAATGAAGAAGTAACTGGACGCGAAGAAAGCAAAGAACAGGAAAATCAAGAAGTGAATGGAAAGGATGAAAGCAATGAACAGGAAAATCCAGAAATGAATGGAAAGGAAGAGAGCAAAGAACAGGAATATCAAGAAGTAAATGGAAAGGAAGAAAGCAAAGAACAGGAAATCCAAGAAGTGGATGGAAAGGAAGAAAGCAAAGAACAGGAAAATCAAGACGTGAATGGAAAGGAAGAAAGCAAAGAACAGGAAAATCAAGAAGTGAATGGAAAGGAAGAAAGCAAAGAACTGGAAAATCAAGAAGTGAATGGAAAGGAAGAAAGCAAAGAAATGGAAAATCAAAAAGTGAATGGAAAGGAAGAAAGCAAAGAACAGGAAAATCAGGACGTGAATGGAAAGGAAGAAAGCAAAGAACAGGAAAATCAAGACGTGAATGAAAACGAAGAAAGCAAAGTGAAGGAAACTCAAGAAGTAAATGGAACTGAAGAAGGCAAAGTGAAGGAGAATCAAGAAGAGAATGGAAATGAAGAACGTAAAGTGGAGGAGAATCAAGAAGAAAATGAAGGTAAAGTTAAGGTAAATGAGATGCCGACTGAAGAAAGCAAAGATAATGAAAATGAGGAGAGAAAAGAGAGTGGAACTGAAGAGAAGAATGAAGAGCACGAAGTAAAGGTAAATCAAGAAGAGAGGGGAAGTGAAGAGACTGAGAAAAAAGAAAGCAATAATGAGGAGACCAAGGAGAAGCAGGGAGAGAATGTTAATCTAGAAACCAAAGAGGACAGCAGAGACACAAAGGAAGGTTCCAGGGATACCCTGGGAGACAACAGTAGCGACAACAAGGAAAACAATGAAAACGAGACAGACGCACAAGGACATAAGGAAGGAAGTATTGAGGGTGTAGTTTCAGCTGAAGAACAGGTTCAAGATGGGAGTGATAGGAGTAATGATGATGCAAGAGAAGCACAATACAAAGAAGATAATGCTTACAGTGCCATACATGAAGCTCAAAACATAACCACTGGAAATGAGCAGGATGGTTTTGCAAAATTAAATGAGGTAGAGTCAGTTGAAAATAAAGAAAACCACGAGTTTCAGCACGAGGATGTGAGGCGGAGTAGCGAAGCTGTTTATTCCAGTACAAATGAGTCAATCCAAAATGGAAGTAACGCTGAGAAAAATGGAAACAATCAATCTGAGGTACCAGAAGAAGTGACCAATAATAACAATGAAGCGCAGCCAGTATCCAAGGATAATGGCCAGCAACAGGATGATTCAGTCACTTCTAATGGGAAATCTTCTGGTTCAAGTACAACAAATGAAACTGCAGACAGCATCAATGTTGATCAAGATATCTCCACTTCAAAGCATGATGCTGCACTTGAAGAAAAAAATCAATTCAATTCATCGCTCAGCGTCACTGATAACACAGATACTTCAAATGAAGGATCCAAAGAGTCGAATACTTCTGGGCCAGATGAATCAGAACGACAAGTGAGCCACAATGAAAATGAAAATGAAAATGAAAATGCTGGTCATAGTAACTCAAATGACAATTCTTCAGGTCAACAGAATGATCATGGTAATTCTTCAGATTTGTCAAACCTCCAAGACAATGATGCATCCTCGAGCACTGTAGAAGGTGCTGGCGCAGGACAGAATGATAATGAGAATGTTGATCAAAGCAATGGAAACTATAACAATCACCCAAAAGAACAATTTGACTCCCACGATGAGGGTGTCACATTTTCTAATACAAACAACAGTGAGGACCTGGCTAACACTGGTGATTCTTCAGGCTCATCTTTGCCTCAGGAAGAGAAGGACGCTCGCACAGATTTGAGTACCTTACCCGAAAGCAGAACTGAAGGGAATAACAATGATGAAACAGCCGCAAAGTGACATCTCCAGCTAGCTGTGGTAACTATATCCTCTTCACATGGAATTACGCCATTTTGTTTGTTTTTGGTTTTGTAAGGATCTTTATGTTTCTGTTTCAGAAATATATATATATACACACCCATATATTTTTTGGCTTTGCTGCTGAAAGAGTTTGGAAGGCTAGGATGAGTTTTGAGCATTTGATGCTTCAGATTAGGACATGGTGGTCTTTTGTTAGTCAATTTTAGTAGCACTTTTTGTAATCTTCTTTCTCTTCCTTAATGTTCGTGTAATCTCATGATGCTGCTTGGTGGAACACCTCTCGGTATCATTTTTCTCCTATCATATGCATGTCTATATTTAATGGAAGGATCTTTCTCAATGCCTTTTGTCTCCATCAACTGAAAAGATTCCATTACTGAAGTTTGAAGGATTAGCTAGCTAGCTGTAAACCCAACTAAAACTCGATTTCTAAAATGGAATTGAAGAAAACAACTGTTTAACCAAGAGAAGGTAAACTTGTGATTCGCTTTCGCAGTCATAAGCTTCGAAGTCTCTGTCAGGCATTTAGATTATTAATATCAAATCATTATATTGAGATTGGAAGTTCAACAAAACATGCACAATCTTACTCTCTTTGGACAACATCCTCACTAGCACCGTCCGGTGTTTGACTCTGATACCATTTGTAACCGCTCAAGCCCACCGCTATTAAATATTGTTTTATTTAGGCTTTCTCTTTTGGGCTTCCCCTCAAGATTTTAAAGCACATCCACTAAGGAGAGGTTTTCACATGTTTATAAAAAAAATGTTTCGTTCCATTCTCCAACTGATGTGGGACGTCACATATGCTACATACAAAAAATAATAATAAAAGAAGAAAAACAAATTTTTAATGAGCTAATATTTCAATATGTTGAGTTCTACATAGTTTGGCATAATAGAACTAGATGCCTTGTCATGAAGAACTTACCAATGCATGTTGACTTTGCCCACATCACTTTTGATAATTCAGTTAGGAATTTATTGCTGATGAGGCTGTAAAGCTAAGAACTCATTTAATTACCATTTAATTTTAAAAAAAAAAAAGCCAAATGGAAGGGAATTAAGAGATACAAATGAGTTCTTAACTCATTTAATTATCACTTTTGTCATTTAAGATTTGAAATTTTGGAAGGGAATTAGAGATAAAATTTATAAGATTAGCATTCAAATTGTAGTTGAGAGCCAAATGGAATTAGAAACCATAGGGAGAAAGTAGTAATAAAGTCAAATTAGGCAATACAAATAATTAAAACCACTCTCCAAATTATACAGAACAAAAGTCACGTACTGTTATTAATACCCCGTTTTGGACCGACGCCTTGCCTTTTTTCTTCTAACTTGTCCAACTTTTCGTCAACGTGCCTGGTCCCCGACGACTCCTCAGTCACCGCCGCCAAAGCTCTACTTGACACCGCCGTTAACGGGTCCCCTCCCCGTTTTGTCAACGCCGGCTGCCCACTTCAGAACGCCACCGCCCCACTAATACACGGAGAAGAAATAATTATTTGTGTAACGTAAAAGACGTATTACTTCATAAGCTCATTTTCCCAGCCTGCCCACATGACATCTCATTTTTCTTTCCTTTCGCATACAACAAAAAGAATAATCAATCAAACCGAACAATATCGGCTAGCGGTGGGTTTGGGCTGTCACGAATGATATCAGAGTCAGACACCGGGTGACGTGCCAGTAAAAACGTTGACCTCTAGAAATTGGATTATGAGATCCTACATCGGTTGGAAAAGAGAACAAAATATTTCTTATTAGGGTACGAAGACCTCTTCCTAGTAGACGCGTTTTAAAATCGTGAGTTAACGGTGATACATAACGGACCAAAACGGATAATATCTGCTAACAGTGACCTTTGATTATTACAACAATCACCTCGATTTGGAGTGGAAAGGAGTGCTACAAGTGTATTGTGCTATTAGACCAAGCGGTGGAGTCAGAGCATCACTAGCTTATACTCGGGTCGAGTAGGAATCATTTTTATGCTCATTTTAACTTTTTTTTCGTTTTTTGATTAGTATTAATGAAAGTTCACTCGACCCTTTGGGGCAAGAGGTGTGCTCAAAAGTGCACTTTTATCCTATCCTTTCATTAACCAAAAGAAAAATCCGTATGAACACTGTATGATTTACGAGATGAATAATCAAAAAAGGGGTTATTCATGGGGAGGTGTGGCTAGGCTAGTACCAGAAAATGGCCAAAACTAGTTACAGGATTAAGTTTTTATGTGGTGCAAAGAAAATTGGGGCGTGCTTGGCAGTGCTCTTGGGCTTGTTCTTGGGTTCAACCTGTGGGATTATGATTCTTATTGGCTGATCATGAACATTGATTTCAAACGTTGATTCTTCTTCAGGAATAACAGTGGCGGACTTGTCTTCAAGATCCAGAGAGTACAACACATCGGCCCTGCTCCAACCCCCACTCAATAAAATCTCGCACACTGATGATACTCTGAGTTTCTCGAATGTTGTCCTGTTTTGTTCTGAGCTCCGATCATGGCTGTTCATCATCATCATATCTTTAACTTCTTCTTCCCTCCATCCGCCTTCCCGCAACCTCCAAAACACGTCCTCCAAGCATCCATCCAACCCCATTTCGAATTCTCCTTCATTCCACCACCCTTCCGTTATTTCACGCGCCGCCGCTTTCTTTCCTGAAGCGACTTCAGTCCAGAACTCCACTGCCCGAGTCTCCTTCGCGGCCCAAGCCGGCGATTCGATCACCGATCGGTGAAGTTCAGGAACACTGAGATGAGAATATTGATGGGTTTGAAAGAATCCAGGCAAATCAGAGCTCAAAACACGAATCTCCCCACCGTCGACGTGAAAAACAGGGTTTCCGGCCATGTTGGGGGCGGAAGGGATGTAACAGTTTCTATATATGGGGACAAGAACAGGGACTCTGTCCAGGAATTGGTTGGCCATAGCAACGGCAGTGTTGGGATCATTAGGTCGGGTCCCCCAAGATTGGCACCAGAATTTTCTTTGGGAAATTTCCTTGAGAAGACAGAATTTGGGGAGATTGATGAGAATGTGAAGCTGTTGAATGGAGGAGGATCGCCAATTGGGAAACCCGGAGCCAACAGGGAGACCCTCTTGGAGAATTGACCGGAGGTCCGGCGGGAAAGAGAATTGGAAAGTGGACTCGACGGAGGTGAATTCAAAGTCCGACATGCCCGGGAGGACGGGAATTTGGAGGGATTTGAGATGGTAGATGACGGTTTTGGCATAGGCGGCGAAGGAGAAACAGGCGAGTTTAGGGCGGGGAGGCTTGAGGGCGGCAGTGGCGGTGGCAGTGATGGCGGCCATTAGAGACGGTTGGGTTAATGTAGAGATTGGAGGAGAGACATGGAGTTTGCCTAACAGATTAGAGCGAGAAAAGGTATGACTTTGTGAGAGAAAAAGAGAGTCAGAGGCTGACTTGATCTAAGACAAGAACATATGAGGGGTTTTCCCTGACCTGTCATCATCTCAGGTGTTCTTCTTTTTACCATTCTTATTTGGCTCTTTCTATATTTTGCAGCTCTCTTCTGACTTGATTTGCTTTGTCTTTGGCGACCTTAACGTTGAAGGTTGGCACACTCTATTAAGACGAATCTAGAAAATAAGATTATTATTTTTGCTTGAAATTTCTTGTGATGAAAAAACCAGTAGAGTGGAGCGTATTTATAATCAAGGCCTAACAAATCTAAGTGTTTGACTCTACTGTTTGATATTTTAACACTTAATTTCTTCGTGAAACATGAGATTTAAAGGTTTCATATTTTGTCATTTTACATGATAAGTATGGATAAAAATTTGATCTTTCAAAATGGGAAAGATAAACTGAGAGAAAGATTTGATATTTTTGTGTTTTACAAAATGGGTATACATAGAAATTTAATTTTTCAAAATGGGTAAAGATAAAAGTTTCATTTTTCAAACATTTATTTTTGCTCATTTTTCAAAAGTAGAGATAAACTTTTCATTTTTCAAAATGGGTAAAAAGAAAGATAGGCATTCTTTTTGAGTAATGGGTATCTATTTTTTCTAATTAAGACCCTTGTTTGGTTTTGGTGCATACTCGTCATCATTGAGTTAGTAGACTTTCATTGAGTTAGTAGACTTTAAAAGATAAAGATTCAAATTTGGTTCAAGTCTAAGCTTACGACATTGTTTGAGTCTAGATCGAGTCATCTCAAATTTAAATAGTCAAATTTATGACACAACATTTGAATTTGACTATTTGATTCAAAGTTAAGCATGTTTTGCTTGAAACAATTCTATGTTACATGACATCTCATGAGAAGAACAAAACAGTATTAAAGGACTCGTGTTTGTCCACTTATTGGGTGAGCATGATTAATCAATGTCATTTTTCATATCCAATCCAATCAATAAATGAGTAGGATCAAGCCGATCAAACTTTAACGTAGAGTCATGCGCCTTGACCAACCTACCTTTAGATTTTCAACCCATTGATGATGTTGAGTATCTTCCAAGTGAATTTCATTTTCAAGAGGAGAAAGTCTTTAGAGTAGGACAAAATGAGGGGTTGATTCCTAAACATTTCATGTACCATTAATTAAGGTTATAATTATTTTTAATCCATAGGAATTTGCTTCATTCAGGAATTTAATTAAATTATCCATCGTCATCTTCGATGATAAATAATTGATTAAAGATTCTTCCGCCGTACCCGGATCACAGACACAAGAACTTGCCAACTTTTTCCAGAATTTATGAACTCATGAAAATGACCAATTATTGATGATATCATATTCACATGCAGTGCCAGATAACAACTCCTAATACCTTGTTATCATATTCACAGGCAGTTTCATTTGTCAATTTCCTGTTCTTGAAGGAAGAACGAACAACATTTCATCATTTAGAACTTACTTTCCACATCAGGAAGACCCATTTTGTGTTTCAAGCTCCGCCTTGTTGTTCCTCGTCTGCTAACATTTCCATCGGTGTAGATTGTTGTTTATCATCCACCTTATTCAAGCTTTCTTTTTCAAGAACATTTGGTTTTGTTCTTCCCATTCTTGGCTTTCGTATCCGAGTCCGAGTTTGCAATGAATGTTGTGAACAAACTGGGGCTACTGCTCGTTTCGACCGTCTCCGCTTCACCATAATGCCACCATTTCCAACTCCCACGGCAGCCTCATCCGTAGCTGCTGCTGACCTGAAAGATGAAATTTCAGCTTCAAGCTTGATCAATCTGCCCTTACACTCGCCTAATTCCCCTTGCACCTGCCCAATCATATTCCACATTTGAACATTTTCTGCAGACTGCATAGGGAAAAAACCATTATAACATGTACTAGTCCATAACAGATATTGTTCGTTTTAGCCGGTTACATATCACCGTCAGTCTCACAATTTTAAAACGCGTCTGCTAGGGAGAGGTTTCCACATCCTTATAAGAAATGCTTCCTTCCCCACTCTAACCGATGTGGGATCTCACAATCCACCCTCCTTGCTAGCACACCATTCGATATCTGACTTTGATACCATTTGTAACAGTCTAAGCCCACCGCTAGAGGTCAGCCTAACGGTTTTCAAGGAGAGGTTTCCACATTCTTATAAGGAATGTTTCGTTTCCCTCTTCAACTAACGTGGGATCTCACAAAAAAACGTTGTGTAAAATAAATTGAAGAGAAAACTCAAGCCAAACCTGTGCTCCCCAGAGTCTTTGATGAGTCTTAGAAAGCTTTTCAGGGGGCTTGATGACTCCTCTTGAAAGGGGTTGTACAGAGGAAGATGTAATACAATTAGGAGCTGGCATAGACCAACATTGAGAAGAGACAAAACCATATGATGCTCTTGAATAATTGGACATCCCAGGAAACAGTAATGGTTGTGTTTGAGCCCCCCAAATTGAGGCATCCCAGGAACCTGTTAAGTTCAGACTGAAACTGTCACTACTACCACATTCAATCCAGGATTTGAAGAACACCCATTAAATGATTAAATAATCTCCACAGAATTGCACCACCAAAGCAAGAGATTTGAAAGTGAAACTCACCAGGAAAGCCAGGGTATGTTGGATATCCAACAGGGTAACATTGAGGTTGGGCAATGCTCGGGTGCGGCTGTACCCAAAAGGGTTGCAAGGAGAATACAAATTGATGCGGCTGTGACAACGGGCTCTGAAGATTGGCAAGGTTTTGCGGTGGGTGAAGCCGGTCATTCACGGCGGAAGAAACGGGTAACGGTGAAGATCTTTCCCTTGCATGTTGCTGGTTGAGTGCCCTTGGAACAAACGTAGTGTAGCGCTGATTTTGCGGAGCCGCATTCTCCAAAGAGTGGCACCCAGATTTGGCGCTTTTTGCTTCATCTGTCCCATCAGATACGCTTTTCTCATTCCGACTCTGTTAACAACAGTGGCATTTTCAATTACCATAACAAATCAAACTCAAAAGATCCAGAAAAAAATGGCGAAACCCCACAAACAAAAACCATTCCCATCGCGTTTCAAGAGAGGATCGGCTAATGGAAAACAATCAATCAATCAAAAGGAGATAGGGGAAATGCAGAAACGAAGCGAAAAGGCAAAACCCATTTGTAAACAATGAAGAAACGTACCAAAACTCCATGGGAGTCGAGTTCAAGATTGGGGAAAGAAGCGAACTTGGGTTCTTCTTCCTTTTCCATCGCATTGAAAAAGAAAACAGCTAATGGAAGTTCAGAGTCCAAAAAGTAAAGCAACACTAATTAAGCCTTCCCTCACTTAAACTGAATTAAAAATGAATATGCGAAGAGGATTTAAAGTTGGAGGCAAATAGAAAGAAGAACGTCATGGGAATATATTACAGATTTCTTTTCTTATGCTTTTAATCCTTGCACCCAATACCGTCCCACTTTATGATTAGATTAATGCAAGTTTAATCCGCCCTAATTTTAATCCAATGAATTAAATAAAAGAGTGGGCGCTAATGAATTAAACTCGACATCAAGTCATGAAATGAAAGAAACCAAGTTTTTTAATAGAGTTATTCATACACCACCGCTAATGAAGGGATACCATACCATAAAAGCAACACACTCACGCGGACACATTACCAAAATATTAATATCAACTGCAAACTCTGAAGCACATGGCTATTACAACATATAGCAACAGCACCGCAGATCATAGAAAGTAAAGGGAAACATGCAGCAACTCATTTTCAAACTTAATAGTCTTCTCCCTCGTCATCTTCATCGTCACCAGCCTCTGCACCAACCTCCTCATAGTCCTTCTCCAAGGCAGCAAGGTCCTCCCTCGCCTCAGAGAACTCACCTTCTTCCATACCCTCACCCACATACCAGTGCACGAAAGCTCTCTTTGCATACATTAGATCAAATTTGTGGTCAATGCGAGAGAACACCTCTGCCACACTTGTGGAGTTTGAGATCATGCATACAGCTCTCTGAACCTTAGCCAGATCGCCGCCTGGTACGACAGTTGGTGGCTGGTAGTTGATACCACACTTGAATCCTGTTGGGCACCAGTCAACAAATTGGATGGTTCGTTTGGTCTTTATGGTAGCTACTGCCGCGTTCACATCCTTTGGAACCACATCTCCTCTGTACATCAGACAGCAGGCCATGTATTTTCCATGGCGGGGGTCACACTTGGCCATCATGGATGAGGGCTCGAATGCACTGTTGGTGATCTCCGCAACTGAGAGTTGCTCATGATAGGCCTTCTCGGCTGAAATCACAGGGGCATAAGATGAAAGCATGAAGTGAATCCTAGGGTATGGGACCAGATTTGTCTGGAATTCAGTAACGTCCACATTCAGTGCACCGTCAAACCTCAGAGACGCAGTCAGAGATGATATCACCTGGAATTTCAACATAATGTGAGGATTTAGGCCTTCAAATTCCATGATTTCGACAATGAAAAAAAAAATGCTCTTACCTGAGAAATCAAGCGATTAAGGTTCTGGTAGGTGGGGCGATCAATGTCAAGGGAGCGCCTACATATATCATAGATGGCCTCGTTATCAAGGAGCACAGCAACATCAGTGTGCTCCAAAAGCGAATGGGTTGAAAGGACACTGTTGTAAGGCTCAACAACAGATGTCGACACCTGCGGTGAGGGGTAAACAGTAAATCCAAGCTTGGATTTCTTTCCATAGTCCACGGAAAGACGTTCCAACAGAAGGGATCCAAGACCAGAACCCGTTCCTCCACCCACAGCATTGAAAACAAGGAAACCTTGAAGACCAGTGCAATTGTCCGCAAGCTTTCTGATACGATCCAAGCAGAGATCAACAATCTCTTTACCGACTGTATAACAAAAGGAGAAACTCGTTAAACCACAGAATGGTTAGCATGAAGTAATTTATAAGTGTAATGAGGAAAAGAAGAATTACTGGTATAGTGGCCACGAGCAAAGTTGTTAGCAGCGTCTTCCTTGCCACTGATAAGCTGTTCAGGGTGGAAGAGTTGGCGGTATGTCCCAGTCCTGACTTCATCAATGACAGTTGGCTCAAGATCTACAAAGACAGCGCGAGGTACATGCTTCCCAGCACCAGTCTCACTGAAGAAGGTGTTGAAGGCGTCATCACCCCCACCAACGGTCTTGTCACTTGGCATCTGTCCATCGGGCTGCAAGGGAGACAGGTGAGAGACATCAGATTTCAGTTGTTAACAGTTGCAAGGTACATTCAGTGATTAACTGAAGAGCCATTCCTGATCCCTCGTTAAGTTAATTCCAAAACTTCTTCCTCAGTGGCAGGCACACTTAAACAGAGCCCATGAGGTGAAAAAAAAAACCTTCAGAAAATGGAAGTCGATGGAAACACGCATACCCAGAACAGGACTGGTACTCTTTAGAAACAGATTGATCGAAGAACACCTCAAACTAATTCATAAGCCAATTCAAATAAGGCAGTTAAACTTTATTGTTAAGAATATATCCAAATGACTCTAAAAACCCGGATATATTCGGATATAAAACAGACCACACCACAGAGCATAAATATGCGACGATCTAGACAGATGTTCGAAGTGGGGTTCCAAGAAGTAGTAATTAAAGTGTAATGTAGTCGATCTACTTAATGCCAAGGCCCGTTGATGTATTCTCAAGTAAAAAACACCGTTACACCTATTAGGAGACAAAAGAACACGAGATCTGGGAAATGCCGATAAACTCACACATCAAAACCCTAGATCTCACTATTTACATACAGATAACGCCAAGCATTTCTAGACAGCCACTCAAATCAAAAACAAGGAAGAGATCAAAACCTGAATGCCATGCTCCAAGCAGTAAAGTTCCCAGCAGGCATTGCCGACCTGAATACCGGCCTGACCAATGTGGACGGAAATGCACTCTCGCATCGTGGCTTGGAAATGGAGAAGAAAAGTGAAACAGAGAATAAACGACAAGGAAGAAAACGAAAAGAAACAGAGTAGCGTTTATGAAGACGCTTCTCCAAGGGATCGAAAATGTGAATTGGAGGCGCGTTGTTGGGGGCGTTTTATAGAAAGGGAGGAATGGCAGGTGGGAAGTGGCGAGTGGCGAGTGGCGGTAGGACTGGGATTGAGGCTCGTGCCAGCGGCGGGAGGCACGTGGGAGTTTCAACCCTGGTTAGTTTACCGTGGTTAGTTAAAAAAATAAAATAAAATGGTTAAAGAGTGCCAGCTCAGCGGTGCAGTACAGGTGTTCGACCTTTATATCTCGACATTAACCGCACGCCGTAGCTTTGTCGTTGGTGCCTGACGTTCAAATTTCAAATCGATTTGAACCGCTGGGTTCGGTTGGTATTGTAATGTGGGGCCGCCCAGACTCGATATTATTTTATTACACATTATAATAATTGTAAGACTAAATTAAATATTTGTCTGGATCTGCCAAGCTAATCTCAACCGTTAATCCAAAACTCATAAATTCTAATGTTCCCACCTCTCCATATTATTAGAAGTAAAAAAAAAAAAAAAAAAAAAAAAAAAAA